AAGAATGCCTGTTGTTAATTTACTCTATACAATATCATTTGTTTCAAATTTTCTGGCTATTGCCTTCATTAAATATGCCATATTTTGTTTCTGAATTTTCTTCAAAGGACAAAAAAATTGGTCAATGAATCATTTGAAATATGTGCTGTTTACTAGATTTGCAACTGTTATTCGAATTAATTGGGCAATGATGCATACATCACGCAATAAGCATATCCTTTCTAATTAAAAAATACGTAACTGAAAGTAATATTCATTCTTGTTGACACGGGCAGACAAGTTTTCTCGTAATTGAATGTGCTTCGATCAATTGGTTCTAATCATTTCCAAAGCAGTACAACACAATTCGTATATTGTAGTTTCATTGACGAGTTTGAGGTCGTCGGTACACAATTTTCAAAAGAAAAATTGTATCATGCTGTGCTTGTGATGGCTTTCACAGCCGGTAGCAGATTCAACAAAAACAAACTATTTTACATACAGATGACAACAAAGATTCGATAGTATATGACAATGAAAACTCATTAAGTCGACAACACTTGTGGATCTTTTTCCGAGTGATTTGTGTCAAATAATTGAAAATTGTTGTGTGATTCACTTTCAAACATTGATTCTCATTCCAATCAAGCAGAATGTCTAAGAATTACAAGCCAGACATGTATTTAAATAGAATTTATCTTGAGAGTCATTGGTTTTACAATCACTGTTCAAAAAAAAAGAAACTCTGTTGTTAATTAGAAGTGTGTAAGCCTTTAAAATCAAAAGTTCAATCAAAAAAATCTATTTGATTTTCAAAGTTGATGCACGTTCACGAAATAACGTCGCTGAAATACACGTAGGCTATGTAGTTTCTATTTATTGACATTCATCGACATATTGAAAATTTGAATGAAAAAAACTGTAGAGACAATTCAATACAATAGAGAAAAAAAAATAACCGACAGCTTAGTTTGCTTTTAGATACATTGTATTGACGACACAATTCAAAACTTTTTAATGATTATTACAAATATACACATCGAAGTAATTGGGAAGAATTAACTCGAACCTTAAACATGTCTTTTTTGTACATTATTTATCGATTGTCAATGGATTGTAAAGTTTTTTTCTATGGCATCAGCAACAAAAGAATATAAGCAGCTCTTGGATGACGACAGACGTACGACAAATAGGATTGATGAAGAACAATTCAAAACAAAAAGAAAGACGTCATACATTATAATACTACCATTGTCTTGCAAATTTGCGACAATGCAGTATAGTCTACGATGATTCTGACGTGACGGGTATGTCAATTTGAAATATAAGATGATACATTTATTTTTTCGTTACAAACAGCTGTAATAGGCTGATTTTTTCTTTAAGTCGGAAAAAAAACACATGCAAAATAAACAGAGAGTGGTTTATTAAAACTTGTTAGGTACTCACAAAGATTTTCAGACAAAATTAATTAGTTGCTGTTCTGCAGACCTTCGACATTAGTCTAAGAAATATCTCTTTTTTACGACTCATATCTCCAAGACGAGAAATAATAATATTTTTCTTTTTTTATGAGGGTAAAGAGCACTGACTGATGCCGTCAATTATACAGACAAAGAGTTTTGTAGGTATTGTAATATTGCAGTAATGAAAGAATAACTCTGAATTTTCTTCAAATTCGTAACTTCTGAATATGTAGTGAACTAGGATCATTTAGTGCTCGTCTACTCCGTAAAGCTTAATAGATTTAAACATTTCTAATCGTTTAGTCGATGTCACATAGCGTTACATCTGGGTGTAGATTTATAAAAGAGACAAATCTCCCTAGTTTTAATACAATACAAATATATCAGAATACCTTTGATATTCCGTCATGACGCTGACAAGTCCTTGCCTGCTTCTGTCCTAGGTGTGAGGCAGTGGAGAGTTTGTATTTTAGCTGAATGCATAGAGAGACGAATATCCGATTGGTCAGCACCTGATCTGCAATTTTCTAAGATGGTTGATATTCTTTGAGTGCAGTTAGAACGAAGATCATTCCTCTGTAGTTTATCAAATTTGTAGCTTGCTCAGAGGTGTACTTATATTTCACATAACAAACCGCAATGCTATGCCATTGAAACGCAAGAATAGAAATTATTTTATTGCCGAAGATTTCGATCTTGTGTAGGCAGAAACTACAATAGTAGAAGTTTCATAAACATGCATGGCAAGCAAATATTCTCTATTCGAACATATCTTGATATTGTTTAATTTTGATCACTTTTGAAAGTATATCTTATTATCGATTGTGTATTTGTTATCATTATGCAAGCAACACGTCAATCATAAAAAATGAATCTGTTACAATCAAAAATATTTGCGAACGAAAAGCATCGTTTCTCTGGTTGTTAATAGTTTGTACAGCATAAATCATATAGGATTTAATCATTCGATGTTGTCTTTTGAATGACTTGACTGGCTAATGCAAATTGAAAGAAAAATTTTTATAGAATCGCAATCGAAAATAAGATTTATTACGACATAGAAAAGGAGAAAGTGTTAACCCTTAAAAGCCGAATGTCCCTTCCAAGGGACATTTGAAAAAACTCCATAGGAGACGTAAAAAAATCGTTGAGGCATGGACCAATATTTTTTTGGACTTTGATGACCTAATAGAGTATAGAGTGAAAAAGAAATTTCTTAAAATCGACTGTCAGGGGACGCAGCAGGTTTTGGAAAATGCATGAATTTTTTAAATGCAATTTTGTATTTTGCAATGTATGCCTTTTCGTAAATATAGCGTGAATTAGCGTGAATTTTGGCTTTTCTGAAAGGCACAAACGCAAACTACCGAATGAAACTGTTCCCTAAATTTTTAAGTTACCTGTTGATACATAGTGATAGCATGAAGAAAATGTCCCTTGGAAGGGACATTCGGTCTTAACGGGCCGAAAAGTTTGAGCGAGACTTACATTGAAACCGATAGTGTGTAAATTTTGAAAAATTGTAAAATATTGCTAGAATTAGTTTCTTGAGTAATAAGAAACATATAAATAGAGGTATTTTAAAGAAAAAATTGCTTTTACATAAATTGATAACAGTGAAAAATTTTGGACCGTTACGACCGAATGTCCCTTCCAAGGGACATTTTATATCTCCGTAAGAAAAAATTTTTTTTTTGTTTTTATTATCAATGATTCTTATTGAGATACTACACCTTCTGTTTTACCGAATAATTTGTTCAAATTGCGACGATAAGGCCTTCCGGCTTTTAAGGGTTAACTGTGGAATATAATTAATGAAAACTAATTAAAAATAACTCATAATTCGATTGGATTTCTCGGTATGAAACATATTTTTTCAATCGAAGAATTCAATATTTCGCTATACTCAATAAATGAATATCTGTGAAAGTAGTTTGCAAGAATAAGAACGAAAATTTATAGTCATTCTACGCTCATTTCTCATCATTTATTGATTCGTTTTTGTGTTAATCTTGGCTCCATCTGCATGAGAGCATCATCAATAATGAGAGAGCGATTAAACAATAAAAAAAGCGTCGTAATATAGGGTTGATGATGATGAAGACCGGAGATAAAAATGAATGTCATATAAAGACGGGACTTGATCCTCTGCTGTGATTCACATATATTTCGTCTATATTTGAAATCAATAAGTTCTCACAGCAAAGACAATAGCATTTCGACTGTCTATCAGACCTTGCTCTCTCGAGTCTATATTTTTGAGAACAATGTATAAAGTATTTAATATATTTTTCAGGTTACAATTCATTGAAATATTGTCAACTCTTTCTCGCATTTGCTCGAACAATTTTAATAAGCATGAAATTATTGTTTTTGTTTCTCTGTATGTCTCAAGTAACAGCATTTCAAACGATGTCCCAATTTTTTCAAGCCCCTTCATTTCTATTCACTGTTTTTTCCTGCTTTGTGTTGAGCCAGACAAATAATCCAAAACGAGCCGTCGAGTGTAACGAAAAACGTTGTATTTTACAAGAGTTTTTCGATATTTCAGATTGTTGCCCAGTGTAATACTTTTAACTTGTTCTCTAAATAATCTCTTTCGTTTCAATCATGGCCTGGACTTACTGGGGTTGGGTTTTTTGTAATGTTTTCATCAGCGCTGGTGTATTTTCATCTACTTTACTGATCATGTGTTTTCTGCTGTGGCGCTTCGATAGTTTATTCTTCAGTATTGTGGCTAAACTTTTCAATATTGAACGTTGTATAATTAATGTACATCACACTATTATTCGAAGAAATTCCGAAATAGCTCTTTTAAGTGATAATGTGACGGAAGGTTGTGGTTTTGTTACAAAACTTGGTAGCTGTTGTGGAAACTGTATTAATGAAGGTTTAAAAATAACGAACGGTATGGTCTCTGGAGTGCAACGAATTCAGCCAATCACCGACGACATAGTCAGAGACGTTAATTTGACACCTGTCAAGAATAAACTAGAAAATGACTTAACATCGACCCTAAATAAAGTAAACAATGATTTAACATTGATCCATGATAATGTAAAAACTGATTTAACATCCGTTCAGGATAAAGTAAAGAATGATATAACAGTTGCCCAGGAAAAAGTAAAAAATCATTTAACATTTGCAACAAATAAAAAAAATGATCTGAAGAACCATGACATAGATCAGGAAGGTCTGAAACCAGTATTGATACCTGTGTCAGATTACCTGCCCAGCGATAATACTATGCTGCAGATCAGACCTATTACCATGAGTATGAGCAACCAACCAGAGCGATCAGCAAATGCAACATCATTAACCGCAAGTAACAGGAAAGAAAGCATCTCGCGAACAAATCCGTCACATCCTGAGTATGAACGAGAAATATTGAACTTGTACGGCAAGTTTCTTACTTTAAATAAAAAAAGGAATAAATTTATAATAATGATCATAACCACGATTGTCATCTCATCTGTCGTTCTTAGTTTTTTCAACGCCTGTTTTCTGGCTACCACAACTGTCTATCGAGACAGTCCATGTCCTTATTATGGTCTAATGGAATGTTTCTATGGTTCTAACTTTACATACTTTTCATGTCAATCTGGTAGTACTGTCAATTTTTCATTAGACGTTAATAGTGGTACGTGCTTTCGTTGGACTGTGCGCGATATGACAATATCGGATTTCACAACACAAATTGGCGTTAGTGCTGGTTTATTGACTGCTTTTGGCTCTATTGTTCAAAGCATCCTACGTCTATTACTCCTTGCATTTCAACCTCGCTTTGGAGTAGCAGCTGGTATAGGTCGTATCATGCTAAAAACTGTCGGCATAAATAAAATCACCCAATCAACTTGCTGCTGTAACTTTAAACTACCTTGTCAGTGCAGAAATTTTCATCCAAGTTGGTATCAACGTCCATCTCTCGTTGTAATGTTTTTCATAATCTATCTTTTACTACCAGCGGGCTTCATCGGTGCCATTGCTCTCCTATTGCAGTACCACTTGAGCTTAACAGCTTTAACCTATACTATTCTTATCACATTGGTATTGATCTGTGTCGCTGCTCTAATATGGGTATTATTAGAGGACGATGAATATGTCAGAAGTTTACCAGGTGGATGGGATATTATTTTGTCCAACAAAAAATCTCAAACAGGTCATCAATAATTTATCGTAACAAGCACTAACTTATGCAAATAATTATTTCAAAAACTAACGCTTATGCTTGTCATACTTTATTTAAAATACAAGTTTCATCGAGTACAATAGATTTGATTGATCAACTTTATATGAATTATGCTCGCTTTTTAGGATAAAAACAGAATCTACTTTTCTTATTTTTTAGTTATCTATGTCCAGATATGATCATTCACGGTCAAATATAGTACATAAATGGGTCGTATTTTGCCGTTACCTTGAACCATGCTATCTGGTTTATGAATGACAATGGTGTTATCATGAAATATGGCATATTGATGACCATAAATATGAAAAGTAAAGCAGAGTATAACAAATAATTATGGCGAAAATACGAATATATGTAACCAGTGTACTTGGTAGCTATGATATAGTTTCAGTTTTTTAGAGACTAAAACTTTCTTATCTGCTTCAATCATACTCGGCTCCCTTTAGGACTTACTATTGTTGTTGAAAGACACTCATAGTAGCTCTCGACTATTTGTAGACATAGCTGTCGTTTGATTGAAGTCACGACAAGAAGAATGTAGAGAAGAACATCACAAAAAACAAAAAAGAAAATAGTTCAGTATCAAAGACAGTGGTCTTTTAGAAAAGATGCTTAATTCTTCGTGACAATTAAGACGAACATATTCGAATTATAAAATAAACAGCTTACTTTTTTTTTGACTCCAACACTGACTCAATCAATCGACTTATTGATAAAAACAATGATTTCTCTCAGTTATTGCGCTGTTTGTATCAATTTAAATGCCATCACTATATATGCAGTTTGCTCTATCAATTATTTAATAAGGTAGTCTATGCGAACTGATGTTATACGTGATCGTATAGAATGGACATAAAGAAAAAGTAATCCTTTTTCAATTAGACAAAAACAATAAAATTTCGCTCTATAAAACTATCTGTTGAACTCCTAGATTCTGAACACAATGTTAGTCAATGGCTACTAGAGATTTACTATTATTCAATAGCAAATATCTTTTATATATTCTGAATCTGAAAGCAGCAGATGACCACTTCACATGTAGCCGAATAATGCTGCAATCACATGATAATGCAGCCTATTCCATGAATTTGAATGCATTATTTGCAAACTATATGTATTAAAACGCATGACATAAGCTGCATTATTTTCATAGTAACTACATGGATTGCTGCCTGGAATATTTTGGCATCAATCCAGCTGGAAGATGCTGTCAGAACGATGATTCTATTAGAGACTATTGTTTTATGAATCTAAAAGATTGCTTCTATAAAAGGATATGTAATCGATGAGAAAGCTAGAAACTAGCACAAGTAAACGATATTCCTGATCTTTAGGATTATTTAGTCAACAGCAACAATATACAGTTTGCGAAAGTTTTTGATACAATATACAATTTAAACGGTAAATTTTATTGAATAGCTTTTAAAATACATAAAAATACTTGTTTTATTGATTCAAATAATTTGGGTGATAGATGGGGCATTTGTGTACAGAGACCAGTTGTGCCAAGTTTTTTTATTCCCCACGTCTTTACTGTGTCGGTGTCTGATGCATATACTTTATTTTAGTTACTGTTATAAGACTTAATCAATGAGTATGTTCAAAGATACAGAAGAAAAGTTACACTTCACTTTGTGATGATGATTTGCTTGTCAAACGAGAGTGTACTTTATATAAGTTTCGATTAAATACTCGAACACAAGTACTTCGAGAAAGTTTTGTATTGGATTCCATAAAGAGATTGAATTGAGTTCTGATGTTTTTATGTAATAATTTTTTCGTACATCGTTCTAAATGGGAAAGAGACTACTTGATACAGTACATATACCAGATGTCTAAATTAAACATTCTTTTTAAATGATAGAGTATTTTTAATAATTGACTATAATATTAAATAGCAAGTACAACTCGAAAGGAGGATGTGCGTGAGTGTCCATTGTGTATGTTATGTTGCCAATGCTTCTGTCAGATACTTGATAACTCTCTAATTCCGTTCTCTAATGTTATAGTAGTTTATTGAAGCTCCGAGCTAGCATTACAGCTAATCATACGTATAGAAATCTATCTACTCATGAGTCTATAGATAGATAGTTAGGTAACTAGATTCATACTTTTATTTATTTATCTGTCTTCGTATCGATGCATCTATGGTTCCATCGATTTATATATTTTTCTTTGTATGTGTGTTTCTATCTTATTGCTCTTTCTTAGATAAATAGGTAGGTATATGGTACTTGAGACTAAATCTCAGTAATAATATCACTAAAGTTTGTCATGTATCGTACTTATCAAGTTGCCTCTTGACTTTTGAGGATCAATTTGTCTTTTAGATTATCTCTTTCTTTAACTACTCTCTTTTTAACGAACATTAACTCGATCAGTTATGGGAAACAGCGGAATCAAGCAGGATCACACCTACAAAGAACTTGAAAAAAAAGGTTCAATTATTAATTTTGTTTTTATACTTTTATGAATTTCTTTTGATATATAGAGCTTGAGGAACTTAAAAAGAAAACTACATTTAGTGAGAAGGGTAATTATCAAATGTTTTAGAGAAATTTATCTATTTAATTTTTCATATTATTTAGAAATTCGAGAATGGTACGCAGTAAGTAACTGTGCGCTTTGAAATGTTCATTTTATTAATATTTTCTCGCTTTCTTCTTCTCAAGGGTTTTATGCATGATTGTCCAGACGGTGAGCTCGACAAGAAAACATTTACTCGTATCTTCAAACAATTTTATCTACACGATGATAATAAAGCGGATTCATTCTGCAAGTATGATTATACTTATGACATATGTATATCTTGTTATTTTATTCTATTGATAAAGCTATGTATTTGAAATGTTTGATGAAGATGGTAATAAGACGATGAGCTTCAAGGAATTTCTTCTGGCTATTTGTCCTTCAACCCAAGGTGAATTGAAAAAACGATTGGAACTCGTCTTCGATATGTAATCGAGATGATTATGTCATATTTTGATGAAACTAAGACTGCTTTCATTAGGTACAATGTTTCAGGCGATACGGATATAGATGAGGAAGAATTGGCTAGTTTTATTATGATCATGGTAAAAAAACAAAGCAGCATTTTTTTCTCAGTCTTAATTTATTTGACGGATCATTTCTTTTTAGTACGATCTTGTCGGTGAAACCAATCGTACAGGTGATCGCGACCCGAACAAGCTCGCCATGAAAATTATTGGAACACTCGATAAAAACGGTGATGGAAAATTGTCTAGAACTGAGTTCATTGCTGAGTATGTATACATTTGCAACTTTTTCTTTCTCATCTCATATTTTTTGCTAGATGTGAAAATGATAAGAGCGTTATTCATATGACGTTCCCATACATTAAACGACAATCGCAGAACGACGACAACACTTCGTTTTCTTGAAAGTTTAAATGTGACTGAATATAAGACAAAGAGCAACATTCACAACTATCCAAGCACGATAAATTTTATCGATTTGAATATTATAACACACTGTATTACCGTATCACATAAATATAATATTACAAAGTAAACCGAGCTAAAATTTGAGTAGAATACTATGAGCAAAATGTACAAACACGTACTATTTTCTCATTAGTGTTTAATATGAATAAAAAATTAAAATTTTTATAATAGCATTGTGCTGACTAAGGGTCCTTTGAAAACTTTGTTCAAAAATTTAAAACGAGCTTTCGTTTAATAATTTAGGATGAGACATCAATTAGCTGACAAGGGAAAATTCCCAGGTGCCGGAGCGCTTTTCAGCTGGGATTCCGCGCATCTTCTAGCCCATAGTGGGCTGTGTCTATAGTAAAAAAAAGTTCAGGTTTCTGGCTTGTTTTTTAGGCGATAGAGCATTTTTATTATTACAACTATAAGAGTTATCTTATCAGCAAAAAAGTAATATGTTAACCAATACTCATTGAAACGAATTGAGATTTTTCTCATATATAGTTGTACTCATGTGGGATATAATGTGAAAGTTTGAGCTCAAACAACCTTGAGAAGATTCAGTTATAAATTTTAGACAATATTAATGTCGTTCTATATGTCATTATATATAGTACATGTATATATAACCATAACATATGACAAAGTGTAGAACTTAAGATGGATCTTAATGTTTTAAAGAAGATAGTATTCTCAAACAATGCATTCGCATTTGTTAGTTAATATGAAACAATAGAAATTAATATGAGGGTCGATTTTATTATTCGAAATTTTGAATTGACAAAATCAAATACTTTGTAGTATTCTGATTATGTATAGAAAAATAAATAATTATTATTTTTTGAAATGGTTATTCGATAAGTTTGAAGAAAATTGTGTTATGATGTTTATATTTACAAAAGTTATTTTCTGATTTTTATTTAAATTTCTATGAAATGGTGTTTAATTTTGACGAAAAATTGTAACATTCGATTGAAAAAGCATTGATTTCTCTTTCAACAAATCCTCTCGATAACACTATTCGTTAGACATATGTTATTTATCGATAACAGAAAGGCGCGTGTTTTCTGTTCTTTTCGTTAAAATTCCAAACATTATGTGGCAAGAAGGTCAAGAAGAAGACGAAGATTTGTTTGATGATATATCAGAAAATTTTGTTTTATGTGCTTTACATCAAGGTGTGAATTAAATATCTCATTTCTTTTTCTAATCATTCAAAATTTGATTTTCTATTGTTCTTTTAGCTAAAATTTTACGTGAACGATGGAAATTTTGGTCTGGTTCAGTACCTGCTGATGTTAGTGTAAGTTTAATTATAGATTATTGTTGAGTTGGTTTTATTTTCTTTTTGTGAAAAGGTTCGTTTACATCGATTAGAATCACTTTTATCATTAAATGAAGATAGTCGACACCAAAGATCAATATCAACAAATGTTCAACATAATACAGAATGGAAAAAAACATCTTCAAAAAATCATCAAATAGATATTTCATTGAACATGTCTGCAATTCCTTTACAACAATTATCAAAAATACATTCATCTCAATCTTTTATTGCTGAAATACAACATTCTTCATCAATTAATAAATATTTCATTGAACGAATCCAACCAAAACATAATATTGTTATACAAGGTGTAAGTAAATTTTTCATTATTTTAATAAGAATAATTTTAAAAAGTGTTTCTTTTTTTTTATTAGCCTGATATTCGACGAATAGTTGTACAAAAACGTCGTATTCATTTCTGGTGTTGTCATTAGATATTTTTCTATGTTTTATTTGCATTTGTTTAGAAATAATAAATTGAAAAAATTAGATACAGGATGTAAAATAACTCGTGTTTTCTTTTTAGAATACTCTTTTTTCAGATTTTGTCATGTTGTCCAAGACTGATATTTATAATGCAAGTGTGGGTGTGAGTTTGAGTCTGACTGTTTTTTAAGACAACATCAACACTCACACCCACGCCCAAAAAAAAGGAATTTTTCGTTTCCTTTGAAAAAAAAGATCTTTTCGTAGTGTCGCAAATCGATCACACGAAATTTCGCTCATTTCGAAAGCAAAAAGTCCATATATAAAATAAACTGTTCTTGGTAATTTGTAGAGCTTCTCACACGGCATCTTGCGTTATATTTTATGTTTTTAAGCAAACGTATTAGGCTATAGAAAAATGTAATGAGCAGAAATGAATAATCTTTTCACAGCGTCAAAAAATGAGAGCACAGTATTTTGATTTTTTTGACAACAAAAAGTACATAAGTAAAATAAGGTTTCCTTTGTAAATGGTGAAGCTTTTTATGCTGCATCGTGTGGTATATTTTGTTTCTTAATGAAACGTATTGAGAGATTAAAATACGAAAGACAGAAACCGACCATTCATTATTGATCACTCGTTATAATGACCCATACCAAAATTCGAAAGCAAAAATATATTGTCTATCTTTGACTTCAATATTGATTTTAGAGAAATCTTCTAAGTCCGGTCTACTTAGGAAGGAAATAATAATATAGGTGACAATCCGCATTCAGTAACTGTCGCAATTATTTAACCAGCAAGTAGTCTTTTCTTTTCCTTCATGTTTCAACAGGTATACGAATTCGGACAGTTTGATTTTCGTTGTATTGTAGTCCATAATGTATAGCATAGATACAGAAAATGTCAAGTCAGCTCATTAATATTTGAAGATCTCATTTAGAATACATTTTCAGACATGCTGTCTCTTATCTTCCTAAAATTATTCAGTTACTTGTTTTCCTGATCTACTGCACGATCATTTAACGTTAAGATTATCTTCATGGAAAATTAGAAAAGATCAAATTGAGCTCTAATGTTAAATACTTTTGATTGTAACTTCATTCAATGATGGATTTAAACACATGGATTTTTGAATGCGTACCAGGAACTTGTCAACCATAGGATGATAAGAGACATTTTTTAGAGTAACATACCAACGATTTTAATGATTTATATAGCATCAAAAAGAGTATAAAAACTGCATCAGATAATGTATCTTGACAGATATTTTATGCTGAAAAATTGCGTTAGAGAATTTCTGTGTATATACGAATCATATCCAAATGATTCATTTGATGAATCGTATACTTCTTTTTATGTATCAACATAGACATTAAGATATGTTTCTCAATCACATCTGTTTGTCAAAAATCGAGTTTCTCTACAAAATTGTATAACTTATAATCAAAATAGACTGCAGCTTATCGAGTTACACTATTTAATTTTCTCATTAATACCATGAATACAAGACGTACCATTCTTTCGACAATAGCTGGGGATCTTATTTCACCAAATAAAAGCATGTAGAAGAAAAATGAAGTAGTGATCCGAACAGTATATTCTGTCGACTGTGATATCGCAACTTAGCTTAATTTTTATTTTGTGAAATACGAGCCTAGGTTGTTATTTAGAGAATGATACGAGATATATTGACTGTATTTATAAGAAATCTAAATAGTGTAACTTGATAAGATGCCAACCATTTTGATTATAATTTAAACGATCTTGTAGAGAAAAAAAGATTCTTGACAAACATATGTGATTGAGAAAAATGTTTTCATATCTCCGTTGATACATAAAAGAAAATATACAAGTGATCATATGCAGCATTTCTATATGATTTGTATTACAGGTAAGCAAAAATTAAGTGAAGACGTCTAACATGACATGTTTAGTCTGAAGTCTCTTGTATCCGATAAGAAGTGGTCATCTTTAGAAGGAATGCATTCAACTACATCTAGACTAATCCAGAACTTGCTCTCACATTGGCATATCTAGTCTATTTTGTCTGTTGATTCTTCTCAGGCTCTTCAGCAGAACAAACAAGCCAGAAAGAAAAGAGGCGGAAGATGAATTCGAACATTCGATCAAATAATAGTCGACGCCTAACGGATATTCTAGTAGTAAACTACGACATAATCATAGAGTAGCATCGAGTTCAATAGGTTAGAGAGACTAGTGACGCTTGTAGGTTTTGTATGAAATAAAAGTTAATTAGAGAAAAATAACTTGACTGGTCTGAAATAATTTTAACTGTTTGAGGACACCGGTATATACGTTCTACCATCAATTTTCAAGTGAAGAAAATGTTTGCTCTCCATTGAGCCAGAGGTGGAACCGGTCCCGACTTTTGCCAGTTCATCATTACAAAATTGTTGCTTTCACCCAAGAATTTTCTCTACAGAAAACGGCTTTTTTATGATATTTTCAAGTCAGAAGAATGTATTTGCAAAAAAACCCAATAGATATCTTGTCTTCAACTTGACTATAAACGATTGATTGTTCTCTTTATATTTCTATCGATTTCTTTCTCGTATATCACTCAATTTAATCTTGATCAAATAATGTATTCTCTTGTTCTATTTAGGCAGCTGCCTGAATCAAGAAAAATAAATATTTACGTGTTTGTGTTAGATTTATTCTAAGCTTGCCTTTTTTTCTTTTTTGAAATTAAGATGAAAAACAGATTTGATCTGAATAGCTAATTTATATCGAT